CAGGTCTCAACATTTCAAGGAGTAATTTTCTCCCCAATTTCATATCTGAGGGTCCTGATCATGCACCCTGAAATTACACCTCATTTTTCTTCTCCCCTAGTACTTACCAAGATCTTTTGAATTCTAACCTTAATCTCCCAAGTGCTTGCAAACTGTTCTAGATTGGTGTCAGACAAAAACTTTTTAATGGTATCTGCTGCTGCATCATCAGAGAGTAGAGCCAGATCCACAAGACACCTTAGGGTGTCTTATTGTGTACATCCCTGAACTGCAAAACAAAGTATTGCTATCTTTGAGTATTTTTAAACATTGACGTAAACATTGTACTTAGCCTCATCCTGTTCATAGTTTCTTACACTACAATCTGTATATTTTAAGCATAAAAACGACATTTTATAACATGGGGGGTTTTTCTATTTCAATCGCAGAGCAGATTACAGTTCTTTTGTGAATGAAGGGAAAGGAAACGAAAGGCAAGGCATATCTCATCTGCCTTAAAAACTGATGAAAGAATATACAAATTAAAAGGAAAGTGAGAAAGTCATCAACGAGCAGAATGCCATGAAATATAATGGATAAAGCCAACTTCAAAATTTCTCCTTAAGGCTGATCATAAACGTGACTAGTTAAAATTTCCCACAGAATTTTAAAGGGTAGACAGAGTACATAAGCCAGGTAACAGCAGGTTTTGCTTTCATGTACAATTTGAACTCTCAAGTCCCACATAATATGTTTGTTTACTGGAGGAAAAAAAACTTATTTCTTCCCTTACTCTTCCGTACTTGACGGCTTAACAAAACAACACATATGAGTAAGGCTCTTCCTTGATTACTTAACACTGCTAATCATATCTCAGGGCCTTGGGTTTCACAGAGGCTGAAATGCATGCTAGGACTGCATCTCCTCCCGGTGTAAGCCATCTCCTGTGAGAGCCTGCCCTGTTACTGGGTAATGACTCAAACAATCAACCCCTTGCAGGTGCAGAGGACAGGCACACCCATCACCGGAGGGTACAAACTGGGGTTTGAGCCAGATAAGGGAAGAGGCCGACAAGTAGCGTAATATTTATACAACCATGGTGTTTTGACAGTGTCAAAACTGACTAATGAAATAGGTAGGAAAACCTAATAAATCCTATTAAAAGTTAAAGTTTCAGTCCAATAGCCAAAGGTGCATGAGGTAATGTATCCACAGTTCTCAGTCACAGTCTCCTTTATTATGGCCTATTTCCACCAGTCTAATCTGAAATGAATGCATTAGGTTTTGTGTTCTTTGCACAGTTGCTGACAGTGTCTCTCTGCCCTTCCTCCTGATTTGCTTGGTAGTTTGGGAGCCTAAGGGAGGGGTGGATTAAATTGGAAAATATAAATAACAAATCAAAAATTAAAATTGATTGGATAAACAATTTCCCTTAGACTGTTTCTTAATAAGTGATCGATTTTTTAATCAATATTCATTATTTCTCAGAACATACCAAACTGTTTATTGAATAAATGAATGGCTGGAACTACAATGACATGAAATCAAATAGGTGAACCAATTTCTTTAATAACATGGGCTGAACAGGCCACCTCATCTTACCTGGTTGAAACTAAAAGTCAGAAATTCAGCACCACTGAGCAAGTGATCCAAATAAAGGATGCAATTTGTTTTCATGTTTGGTGAGCACAGGTGTACAGCCACATGCTGATTTGTGCGATATTTCTAAATTGCAGTTGAAAGTTTCTTTCTTTTTGATACAACTTTTGTGTTCTTTCCCACAATTCTTCATTAGTCAGCATATTGCAAAGCTTCTGAAATAAAATTCAGATCTGAAAAATGAGATCTGTAAAGCTGTTCACAGTAAAGTCTTCAGGCATGGCAAATGGATTTCTTCTATAAGTTTTTATTCACTTGTATCAGATTCAGTGGTACTTCTAAACTATATGCTACATCCTAATATATACTTCAGACTACTTCATAGTTTTTTTGGCATGTAAAAAATAATCTTTTGCGACACAGAGGTTCTGATGTTCTTTTTTTTTTTTTTTCAGTTGAAGAAAAAGCATAAGGGTACGAGATCCCCAAGAAATGTTTGCACATTTGTTTAAAACGCAAACAAGCATATTAATTTGGTTCTACATAATACAGATCATGATCTTCAACTTACAAATTTACATGATCTTCAACTCACAAATTTCTTCCAGTATGTGGAAATACTTAATTTCCATTTTTACTCAGAATATACATGACTCTTCTTCTTATGAAAAAATATAAACTGTACTAATCAACTGTTAATTAATTTGTAGGACACTCACTTTAACATCTATTTTTACTTGTAATAATTAATTTAACATATGACCTACCAACAGTATATTTTCATTGCTCTAAAGAGATAAAAGTATGAAATAATCTGAGCAATGAAAGGAATCAGAAGGATAGCAGTTTCAGTTTGTACATTAATTCCATGTGTTTGTTGTTGTCACAAACAATTACAGAGAAATCAAGTATCAATCTATTGTGCTATGTTGTCATCTACAATAACACTAATGTAAGAAGAAGAACTTTCATTAACCTCACTTTTGTAGATCACAGATTTTTGCAAATGGTAAAGGCCTATGGTTAAACCAGAAATCTAACCTCAAGTCTCAAACTTCAAATCTAATTTCACTCTCAATTTCAACCTAGCTTACAACACTGCTTCCCAAAACAAAGCACTGAGTTCAGCTGTTAACACTAACACTGAGATTAAAAAAGTGTTAACTCTTGAAACTTAGCTGTTTCCTCTCATAATATATAAATATTCTGCAGGAATTCCCGTCCAGTCACCATTCAGTGTAACACATATTTCTAGAGCATTCGGGACCATCTGACAACATGAGTCATCAGCACTGACCAAAGCAACACTTTCCCTTAATTCCAGTCATAAAATCCTAGGCACTAATGCTCTGGATTTATTCACAGAGCTTTCAGCTCCCTTAGTCTGGCATTTTGCACTGTCCACTTCAATATACATCTACATGAGGTCGTTAAGGTCCAGCTGCCCTTTGGAAATTTTTAAAAAATATGTTATTTTTCCAGTATGAGTCTGCTTAAAAGGGCTGTGATTGTCCTCCCGATTGAGGCAACAGACTTGGCAAAGCAGGCAGGAGATGAAGCAGAGGTGGTTTGTGTCCCAGAGACTGGCCAGGAGATGGTGGCAGAGAGCAGCTCTCCCTCACTCCCTTTATCATGGTGATTTTAATTCTCATAGACCCCAAAGTCCTCTGAGCACCTCATTTCACTATAACACAGCAGTCTCCTGACTTGTGCCATCAACTTACTTGTTATGTTTTAAGATAACGTAACAAGCTCAAAACATTGGTTAACATCTGGTTTGTTCAGTGGGACCGGGGCACTTGCATAAACACACTACAGACTGGATGCACTCAGCTCTCCCACATCTACTGAAGAACCAAGTATCATGACATCAGTTTTGGTAGTGACAAAAATCAAACATTTTCTGGAGCCATTATTGCCTAAAATGTTAATGCAGTTTACTTTTTTCAAATGTGATCGATTGCTGGGGGAAAAGTGCCCATAAATTACTAAAGGCAAATACCATTCTATTAGCACTCAGGAGATTTTGCAACATTTGCCAGTCTCTGTTTTACTGGAAAAAAAAATTAATTTGCTGAAAGCCTAGTTTTTTACCTGTCTTTGTCTTTCTCTGTGAAAGAGGGATATTTTTATCAGGAGTCATTTAGGAGATGTAATTCTAATGCATTATAGCTATAGGTTTCAATTAATGTTCTACCTCTCTGTCAGCTTTACATTCCATGTTTTATGAAATCATTAACTATTGTCATGTTTCTATTATGATACTATTAGGAAATAAAGAGATGTATGTAAATGGAGATGTAAAATAAATGTACGACAGTCACTAGGAGCAACATCTGTGCACTATCATACGTGTTTACACTAATTTTCTAAAGATTGTTCCATTCATTACAAAGCATTGTTACTTGCTGTGGCACAACCCTTATTTCCATGCATTTAGGGATTCAAGTAAAGCGAGGGTAAATGAGAGCCTAATCAATACCACTTTTCATTTTGCTTCTAATGTTCTGCCTTTCCCTTTCTTTTCTTCATGAACAAATCCAAAAAAGATCCTGACGTTACAGTCATAAAATGTAATTCTTCTGCAGAAACACAGACAATAATGCTCTCTGTATTCAGGCATATTGCATATTCTAATGGCATTTGGCTAAATTGAGTATGGATTTAACATCAAAGGCTTCATGAATTTTTCAAATGAGATATTAAAGTCAATATTTCAAGTGAAAGATATTTCAATTTAGTTGCATACACAACAATAAAAAACTTCTACAAGGCAGAGGTACTAGTGGCTGTGGCAGTATTAGTTCATTCAGGAAATTATTAGTTTATAAGGAAATCAAACAGAAGGTTGTGATACGGCAATGACACTGAATAAATTACACTCACCGACACATGCTGAACGTACTTTATCTCTTGAAGTCCGAAGCAGAACTTGCTACTGGCATGTTCAGTCCTTCAAGCAGGGCTTTATTGGGGGCTATTTTATTTATTCATTCTGTGAATTCAAATGGTTCCATCATGATTTGCATTCACAATCTCAGAAATCTGCTTATTTTCACCTCTGAAATGCCTAGGCCTACTGTATGCAAGAAAAACTCCTGATCTTGTTTATTTTTTAATCTAAGTGTATTTTGCTCCATATTGTCAATGCCTGTGCAATGGTACTTCTGGTTTCACACTGAATTATTCCACATTCAGACTCAGTGCCCACAAAAAGTCCACTGAGTTCTGATAACTTCTATGTCCTGGCAAAGATAAAGACTTGCAAACAACACAGCACAGAGTCTGATCATTCCTTTCCTTTCTTATTCCAGGCGCATGGAACGTAGCCAAGCGCCCCCTAACCCAGTGAGATGTTGTGTTATGGTGTCCTGACATATCCCTGAAGAGCACGTGCATTTGTATCCCCTACCACTCCTGGGGGAGCCAGAGGAGCTGCACACACAGGCAGTGTGGATTTAGGCAGCTGTAACCACACTGTGCTGCTCTAAGAGCAAATACGTCCTTTGCTCACACACAGGATACCAGCAATTACAAACACACACCACTGAAGATGCAACGATTACTGATTTTATTAGTAATTCCTATATTGCTGAAAATAATTAAGAACCCAACTACTAAGAAATACAGGAATACTGTACTTCTGTATTTCTGCTCCTGCTACCACTACAAATACAAAAAGCTTTGCTCTGTACGTGACATTTCTACAGAAGCCCCCAGCCAATTTTTCCAAGTGCCTTTAAACACAGGTGGGAGGGCAAATCTTTTTGGGTACCAAGGGAAAGTTACACTGATTCAAAACGCTGATTATCAGGTAGTCTGGGTCCACAGATTACCACAAAAAACCCATCCTAAAAGCACTTCCTTGAAACCAGCAGGTTGTTTGTCTCTACAATATTCACCTGAAGTGTTTGCACTTACTGTGAGAGCACTTCGAGGGCTCACATAAAAAACAAAACTGGCACTAACTAAATGTTAAACCGCTGGGTCTGGCTCCATCATGGCTGCTGGGCTGATAGCAAATGCTGATTTGTTGTTCAGAACTAAACAAAGGCAGTAGCCTTGTGGGGAACACTTGCAGGGACCAAGGCATGACATCTTTCCCCCATTCAAACCCTTCATAATTTGTTTCATTCATCCAGTTTGCACCCTTGTAGGCCTTGGTGTCCTATCTGTTTGTTCATCCCTAGAGCCTTTCTGAAGCTCCGTGTTCAAAGTCCTCTAGTATTTCCATAAAATGGGAAGTGCCACCATCTCAAAGGCAATCAATCAGGGATAAATGTCATCTTCAGAAACAGTACTCTCAGAAAAAGTATTTCTTGTGGTAAAAAAGGTAAGGTAGAAATTTTGTATTGTTAATAAGATCCAATAATAACTAGAATTATATTTTCAAAATTGCCTCTGGGGCTGGGGAATATGGTTTCCTTTTATTCTGTTGTAATTTCTGGACATCTTTGAGATCGTTCTGAAAACTACAGTTCACAATTAATGAGTCAGCAGTGCATCCAAAAACTTCCAGTTGAAGTTATTGAAATTTTGATGGTTTTTTTTTATGGCACGACAAAACACTGCCAAGAGGAAAGATCCCCTCATGATCTCCATTCACTCTGAGAATCTATGTTTAAGGAATGATCCCCTGAACTGAATAATTTCATATTATTCTTCTTGATTTTAGGGATGCACATGAAGTTAAGAGTACTCCTCTTGTGAGATCTGTGTCAAAATGATCACTCAAATCATTCTTCAGAGCACTGCTAAATAAACCAGGAATGTTTGTAGCTCAGATCAGAAGAGGAGGCCAAGCTGTAGGATTTGATCTTGGACAAGCAAATGCTATGGCAGCAATAAAGTCATTCACATATCATGTTGTACATAGCTTTGGTGTTTAATGTAAGTTTCTATTGAAAACATATGAGTAGATTATCCATAGAAACTGAAGAGATTGAGCTACCTAAAACACACATTTGACTCTTTATTAACTGGTGATAATCTGCACTGATCCACATTGCAATTCCATTGCAGATGTTGCTGATATCAAGAGGTATGACAAAGAAACTACAGAAAGAGCATATTTAAACAGGTATTTCACATTACCTCAACCATATATATAGTGAAAAATGTCTTTTATGGGAGTTCAAGTTTTCTACTTTATTCTCTGCAATTTTATGCATATTGTTAGAAACAAGGAGTAATGAAAGTCCAGTTCACAGTCATTCAATTTTTCTCTCATTTCCTAGCTTTCTAAAATTTTCTGATTTGCTCTTTAAGTTTCATTTTTGCCATAGTCTGGAGAACGAACTGTAATTAGGTAGTGAGACTGAAACTCATGGCATGGAGAGAGATGGTTACACTTTCAGATGTACCATTTGTACAGATGGAGCAACCACAGCTGCTTTCAGACTTATTAATACATTCTGTAGGGAGTGAAAGCTTTGAAAAGGATCGTACTTCTGTGCATTTCCTCCCCTCCACACAGCAAATGGAGCTGGCAGTCCACCAAAGCTCCAAACAGACCGTCCTGCACTGCGTAGAAGAAAGTGTGGCATTTCATTAAGGGCAAAATAATGCTTTTGGGGCACCACAAAGGATCATCTGTATTACAGAGGAAGATCCAGAAAGGATGAAGGAAGCAGCCATAATGCTAGGACAGAAAGGTGGGAAATGTGTACATGACTAGGTAAAGAAGCACTGCAATTCTTTTTCTTTCTATTTGTTATAGGTCAGATCTAAAGTATTATCTTTCCATCTAGGTAGAAATACGATACACCAAGACCCTCAACAGATTTTTCAGTCTTTATCTGGGAAATGCATTTATTATGAAGTGTTAGATGGTTCAGAGCACCTGTGACAGTCCTCTAAGCTAAGGTGAATTTTGTATGCTTTCACAGAGTGACAAAGCAGGAAATAACTTAAAAAAACACCTCGGTAGAAATCAAAATAAAAAGTTCCATGAAGGTCAGCTGAAAAGGCTTAAAGGCAATCAAAAATCAAACTGTTTACCAGGCACACAAAAATAGGAACAACCTTAGTGCAAAGTATAATAAACAAATTTCTCTAGTAATGTGAACTACACAGATGATTTCTCCATCAACTCTTTCCATCTTTTGAAAGCCACACAGTACCAACGAAGGCAACAGAACTTACCCAAGTTCAGCAGTTCAGCAGTGAGCTCAGTGTGTTAGTCCACCCACCTCCCTGAAAAAAAGAAATGTTCCATGTCAGGAACAAGTCCAGTAATTATCTTCTAACACAGGAGCAATGCCAGCAACATTCTGGTAATGGCAGCATTAGCGCTAAAAGTTTACATTTTCAAAAGTGAAAACATTTACAGACACAATCTGGATGTTTTAACTGTCACAGGCCTCAGCAATCCGATATTGCTCAGCCTTGTGGCCAAGGCATTAGGCCACTGGTATCTGTCTGCCACCAGAACAGATCTTCTTAGGACTTCTCTAATAAACTCAATAATTAATCCACTAAAATTTGAAGGAGAAAAGCAAGGGCCATGCCACTATTAACAAATAAGAAACAAAGACAAAACTTACTGATTTTGCTAAAAATACATAATGAAAATATTTTTTACTCTGTGGTAAAACCAGAAAACAACATAAAGGTGTAATGGTCTACAGTACTTCTAATTCATTGGACTCATTATAAATCCCCAAATACAGAGAATAACTTTAATCCATTTGCTTGGTCAATTATTCCTCTTACCTGTCAAAACAAAGCCAAACAAATAAACAAAAAAAAAAAAGGGCAACAATTTCACTTCCACATAGAAAGGACAAAGCGTCTACTATATACTTGTAATCAAATTCAGGTTTGTACCAGAAATATAAATAGTACAGATTGGGAAAATAATTAAATAATGAAAGTATTTCATGCAATTCCAAGGAAAATTAGATTACTGTCTGAAAAGGATACAAGTGTACACAATTCATTATATAGAATATAGTAACACTTGGCTAAAACTAGTGTGGAGTTCCTCACATTAATGAGCACAGTCCTCACCCACAAATTAAAAATAAACAAATAAAAAAGATACGAGTATGACCTCACTTACTGGCAGTCGATCAAACTGCCATTTGTCCCAAGAGTTGGGAAGCCACTGCCTTATAACACGTCAAGAACTCTTGCTTATTGAACTGATCTGTATGAAGTCTGAATTTTTTTCTGTCTACAGCAATTGCTTTTTCTATCAAAACATTTGGGTTTATGTAAATGACACTTAATGGTTAATTGGAAATACAGCATGGTGTTTAAAGTTGAATCATGCTCACTTAACTTTGGAGTATCCTTGTACCATCACTGAGTAAAAGAACATTTCCTTAAGGTGAGGGTTGGACAATACAGCAAACAGTCCCCACTCAGTGCAGTGCTGCTCATATTAATAGCAAACCTGAACAGCTACACAGAACAGTCTAAATCTTTAACATACATATATTACCATAACTTTAAAACCAGCAGTTTTCATTAATCATACAATGCTTATTCATTTACAGGCAGTTGATTAAAATACAGATATATAGTCCTGAACATCACAGAAATGGAAGGCACTCAGCCATTCTCTCCAAATAGTATTTTCTCAGCCTTGTTTCATCACTCAGCTACATATTTCAGATTACAAAAATTGTTAAAGATTCCAGCAGAGAAATGGACAACAAAGATCCTAAATAAAGACTGAAGGGCATAAATTCTCTGCCAAAACAAGGATAAAGCTCCAGGTAGAGAATGCCTAGTTCAATTCCCTCCATCCTACTACTGCAGCATTTCAAACATAATCAAAAGAAACTAATTTGAATTTTTGATAAGGAAAGCCTGAAAATAGCTTGATAAACTATGGATAGGCATCTGTGGCTTTAAATTTTTATTTCCATGAAGCCAAACATCTAAAAATGTTTGAATCACAGGGAAATATGCTGGAAACAAAGGTATTTCTTAGAGAAAGGGTCATCAATCTAGAGATCTTAAGTCATTTATTGTCCAAATCTGTGTGACTCTTGCAGGAGCTGAAAAGAAACAGTTAAGATCCAAAGTACAATCTTATCTCTGACTGATGTCCTCTAAACACGTCATTTACTCAGAGGCTGTAGCTCAATCTAAAGATACAATATTTGAATATTTTTCAGAAGGGGTGCAATGGCTGTATCATTAACCTTCTTATCATATAAGTAGGCAAAAATTGGCAGCATGGTAGCTTTGGGAGGTGGTTGAGGCAGGCAGAGACTTCCAGTTTGGAGGAATGACCTGTATTTCTGAAATGTATATGAAGGATAAGAAAGGAGCTATTGTAGATTTTTACCATCAGCTTCTGAGAGCTCGAAGAAAGGAAAGATTTCAGAATGCACAGACCAGGAGTTTTGGGCAAAGAATGAAGGGGACAAAGGTTGAGATGAAGGCTTTTAGATTACCTTGCATTATTTTGTTCTTCATTCTCTTTATAAAAGTCATTTCTCCCACAGTAAAGTATTCTTTTCATTTACAGAATATCTTTCCACACTTTTTTCTTGGGATTTTTTTTTAAATTGGTACCCTTGATAGTCAGTATTATTTACTGAATATATAATGGCACAAATACTAAATGCATACTTCGTTAGTTATGAAATTACAGCTGCCTATACCATGGGTTCATTTTTAAAGCATTATTTTCCTACAAGAAAATCTGGCTAACAATAAAATAATGGACTAGCAAAGGTACTTCTTACATTGAGTCTTTAAAATTCAATGCTGTACTTTATAATTTCTATAAAGATTTCACAAACTCTTGAGCATACACCTTATGACTATTGCTGCACTTACCCATACAGACAGCTGGGAAAAAAAATCAAGATAGGCTGATATATAGGACAATTTGCAGATACAATTTTCAGCTAGACTGAAGCAGATTTGATTACAAAAGATGGGGTTGAAGACACCTTGTTTTTTTTAAGTTCTTCTCTCCTATAAGGTACTTGGATAGCCATAAAATGTTTTCAAAAAAGAAAAATCCTCATGTGTAAAGGTAACATTCTGGAAATGTGTTTAGAATATTCTGTGATGGAATACCTAAAAAGCTGTCTCACTACCAAGAGCTCCCTCCAGTCTTTTCTTTTCTGTATATCAGGTGCCACTGTTATTCAGTGACAGCCTTTGCCCTTTGGGCCTGATACATCTTCCACTGAAACCTGTTTACAGCCTTAGTGGCCTCTGCATCAGAAGCCCCTTCACTTCTTATCCTGTACCATCACACCCAAGTGGCAAAGGCAGCAGATGACATCACTGCCTTGTCTGGTAAGTGTTTGTATTTTAAAAAAACCCAAACCCAACAGCATTTCATACCATGGAAATAATTATAATAATACTGTGCTATTATCTACATAGACAATGCTGACCCACAAAAATAGAAATTTAGAATTTATCTTTCATCCATATTCCACTTTTAACAAATAAAAATGTCATTTGTTTATTTATAAATTGAAAAGCAGAATACAGTGTCTGTCCATTATCTGCCTGATAAACTCATTCCAATGAAACAACTGACAACAAATAATACAAACAATACATGAAAGATCCCAGGGAAAATCAGGTACTGCATACCTAATTCTGTTGGGGATGCAGTTCTGTGTAGCAAGAGCTATACAGTGAACCAATCTTTTACAGAATGGGTTAGTATTTCTAAAGCACTGTAAGGAGTCTTGCACACCATCCGACAGGATTAGTTATTATTCCTCTAATACTCATTGTCTACCAGTGCATACATACAGGACTCAATAAGCTACATGTTTATAATTATAATTTATGTACATATTTCCACAAATTTTCTTGAAGAATGGCATTTTGCTGTGAACTGAATGCAGAATCAGGAACCAAGAGCTGCTCTGTTCTAACCTTTGCTCCAGTAACAGGTTCTCGAGTCTGCAGCCTTCAGCAAACCGCCTCCTGCATTTGTAAAATGAAGATATAAACACCTGCCTGCTTACCTAGGGAAGGGTACTGGACAACTATTCAGCCTTCACAACCAAAAGCCAAGTCTGACAAACTCCCAGTGTATCTGGCACAGAAGTTTTGCACAGTGCTCTGCAACCCCAGTGTCGCCTTGGCACCCTATTGCATTTGCTCTGTATGCTTTCCAGGGCAAGTTTAAGTCTCTGTTTGAGCTCCAAACTTGTAGACAGTTATGGCTGGTAAACTATAATCACAGAACTTGTCCCCCTGACTTCAGGAGGATTAATTAGATGCCTAAAGGTAAGGAAATAAACAAATGTTTGCAGAGTGAGGACTATGTTTGGTGAAGGGCCAATTTTCCCGATTGATAACGTATAAATAAAAATCATGCCTAATTTGCTTCCATTACTAATGCTTTATATAATATATAATTGGAAGCAAATTACATGCTTTATTTTAAATTGTTTACATGCAAATCTTATTTTCTTTAAAAGTAGAAATCAACAGCCATTTCTCTGTCACATATTACAAAGATGGAGCATAAGGAGCTTTTTATTTTATCTCATTATGTACTGAACTTAAACATTTGATATAACACTACCCAACAGAAATAAAATCAAATAAATAATAATCAAAAATAATCTCAAATGTTTATTAATCTAGGGCATTTTCATATTTGATGCAAACACAACAATTTTAAAGTACTTTTTAAAAACTATTTTCAAAATACTGCTTGTATTCTTCGTACAAATTACAAGAAAAGGACACATGCAACTGAGAATGTTATTAAATAATATATATAGTTAACATTATTTTTGTTAAATTGTCACCATATTCCTCCAAATAACTTGAGGCTTTCTATTCAAAAGGAAGTCTCAGAAATACCAGTTAAAGACTCCTTTTCTCAAAGATAACTCAGAAAAAAATATTGCTGATTGATGGCAGAGTGCTAAAACCTTAAATTTGTGAAACAAGACACAGGTCCTCAGCAGGAGTTCACACAAATGGAACTACACTGTTTTCACACCAAGGTTTAGAATAGCCCGATTTCCTTAAGTCTCTTGGTTCTCTCTCAGCCTCACTCTTCAACTAACAGATGTGAATATCACTGTGGGTCTATCACAACTTAAAGCATTAATGACTTGTTTGTTATACTAGTGTGAGCAAAAGCAGAGTTACTACCATCGATCACATCCTCTGTTTTTTTGCAGGTACCGTGACACCACAACCCTGTGGAAGGACACATGAATAAAAGAGACTTTTTAAGAGCT